CCCCCGGCAGTGGCCGCGCGGGGGGTGGGCCGGGCAGCGCACGCCGCAGGTCAATTCGCTCGAGCGGCGGAGGACACGTGGCCGACGGCGCGGACATTCCCAGACCTCCTCGAGTCATGAAAAAATCACGACGGGAGGTTTTTCCCTATTTTCGGCCTCCGGGGGCCCTCACCGGGCCTCGGGACCGTCAAAAAACTACTCGGGATGAAAAACCGGTCATAGGGAAAGGGTCTGGACCTCTGGGGGGCGCGTCATGAAAAAATCATGACGTCGGGGGTCTGGGTTTCTCGGGGAGCAACAAGTGGCACAGACAGGAAAGCTCGGAGGTCCGCGCGGATTGCTCGGATCGGCGCTGGACCCCCCTTTCCTGGCGCGCGGAGCGCGCCGGGGGCGGCGCCGGAGGCGCCGCCGGGGGGCCCCAGCGCCGATCCGAGAAATCCGCGCGGGCCTCCGAGTTTTTATGTTCATGCCACTTTTTGTTCCCCTAATTTCGCGCGTGAGCGCACCGGGAAGCTCGATGCACCTGGCGTGGCCGGCTGGGCGAGAGAGTCGGATACGCGCGTGGCCGCACGTCCTTTTCCAGCGCGCGGCCCTCGTGTGGCCAGCCGCGGTGCTCCTCCACGCGCGTGTGTCCAGCAAGTGGCCTCCAGATGTTCCGCGTACGTTTCTCCCGGCAGGCGCGCGGGCTTCCGAGAAGTCCCGCCGCCCTCCGAGAAGGCCTTCCCCTTCTCCTCTCCCCCCCCTCGCTCTCGTGCTCTCGCCGCCGACTCCGGCTTCCCGAGGTCGGCGCCCTCTGCTCCCCGCGGCGTGCCGCGCGGGGCCGCCGTGCCTTCTCACGCGCCGGGGGGCGATCGCAAACATGGATCAAGGGTTATGATGTCCCAACCTACTTTAGCCTTGATTCAATTGATTCTCAGAGAGAATTTCGAGCGCAAGGAAAAAGGTACCGAAACTCGAAGGTTTTCATGTGTCGGGCCCTGGGAGACACTCGTCCGACACTGTTTCGACACTCTCTCCACACTTTTCTAGGTGCTCGAAGTTATTTCTGGGATGTGGTCCTGAAGTGCGATGGGAGCAACATGAATCAAGGGGGCGTGGATTGGCGACGGGTCCCGTTTCCATGGGACATCGCGGCTCTCCGCCGCCGAACGAGGCGGCACCGGCCGCATTCTGGGGAGGGCACCCTCTCCGACCGATGGGTTTTGGCGACCGCGCGCCAAATCCATGGATCGCTAATCCATGTTTGCGCGCCCCCGACGAGGAAGAGGAGCAGGAGGAGGAGGAGAAGGAGGAGGAGGAGGAGGAGGAGGAGGAGGAGGAGCAGGAGGAGGAGGAGGCGGGGGAGGAGAAGGATGGGCGGAGGAGGAGGAGGAGGAGGAGGAGGAAGGAGGGGAGGAGGAGGAGGAGAGGAGGAGGAGGAGGTAGGAGGAGGAGGAGGAGGAGGAGGAGGAGGAGGAGGAAGAGGAGGAGGGGAAGGGAGGAGGGGAGGAGAAGGGAGGAGGCGAGGAAGGGAAGGAGGGGAGGAGGAAGGAGCATCAGGAGGGGAGGAGGAGGAGGCAGGAGGAGGAGGAGGAGGAGGAGGAGGAGGTAGGAGGAGGAGGAGGAGAGGAGGAGGAGGAGGCGAAGGAGGAGGAGGAGGAGGAGGAGGAGGGGGAGGGGAGGAGGGGGAGGAGGAGGGGGAGGAGGAGGAGGAGGGAGGAGGAGAGGAGGAGGAGGAGGAGGAGGAGGAGGAGGAGGAGGAGGAGGAGGAGGAGGAGGAGGAGGAGGAGGAGGAGGAGGAGGGAGGAGGAGGAGGATGGAGGAGGAGGAGGAGGAGGAGGAGGGAGGAGGAGGAGGGGGAGGAGGAAGGCGGAGGGCCTTCTCTCGCGCCAGGGGGCCCGTCTCTTCCCGCCGCTCGCCCCGCCGCCGCTCGGGCTGCGGCCGAGAGCGGGGCCCCGGCCGCCCCCGTGCGTGGTGGCGCACGGCGGGGGGGGCGCGGGCGGGATCCGGGCGGCCCAGGGGCGACAGGGCGCCCGCGGAAAGCAGGCCCGAGCGCGCGCGCATGGGGGAGGTGGGGTTATCGCTCCTCCTGCTCCTCCTGCTCCTCCTCGTCCTCCTTCGCTCCTCCTGCTCCTCCTGCTCCTCCTGCTCCTCCTGCTCCTCCTGCTCCTCCTGCTCCTCCTGCTCCCCTTGTCCTGCTCCTCCTCCTCCCCCGCCCCTCCTCCTCCTCCGCCTCCTCCCGTCCCCTTGTCCTCTCTCCTCCTCCTTCCTCCTCCTCGTCCTGCTCCGCCTCCTCCTCCTCCTCCTCCTCCTCCTCCTCCTCCTCCTCCTCCTCCGCGCCTCCCGCACGGGGGAGCCTTGAGACTCCAAGGTCGATCTATTATTGCGGGTCGTACTATAGTCCTGCCCAGCCTGCTCGTTTGGTCGCACTGCAGTTCGTCCCACGCTTTTTGCCCGGGTCCCACTTTTTCCGCTTGCGCCTCGTTGAGGGGTCCCCTGAGCGAGGGGTCCCCCCGAGCGTGATGGGTCCCCTGAGCGAGGGGTCCCCTGAGCGAGGGGGATCTCTCCTCCCCCCCACGAGTGGCGAGCAGATCCCGATCTCCGCGCCCTCGCGGCCTCGCGGCCTGGATCCACGGGCGCGAGCCCGCGGCTGCGCGGTCGCGCGGGTGCGCTCCGCGCGGGGCATCCGCGGGGTCGCGGCCCGCGTCCGCGGGGTCGCGGCCCGGCGGGGGCCCGGCCCGCGAGGCAGGAGGAGGAGGAGGAGGAGGAGGAGGAGGAGGAGGAGGAGGAGGAGGAGGAGGAGGAGGAGGAGGAGGAGGAGGAGGAGGAGGAGGAGGCTCTTGAAGTATCCACTTCCTCCCGCTTGCAGGCCTTCCCCCCCAGATCCCCCGCGCCGCGCAGCAATTCACGATGGACGTTTTTGTCTGCACTTTCGGCCTCCCATCAAAAAACGACTCTGGATGATAAGCTGTCCAGGGGAATGGGTCGGGACCTTCGGGGGTCGACGCTGTGAAAGAATTGCGACGAAGGGGGTTTGGGGGGCCCATCGTGAGGCAGATGTATGAGGAGCGAACCCGCGTGGAACGGCCCAGACCTCTGGGGGGGCACTGCCGCAGGGGGCGGGGCCAATCGCTCCAAGGCTTTCTGAAGCGCTTTCGGAGCATTCTGGGAGGAGGCGGGGGGGCGGAAGAGGCGCAGGAGGCGGAGGAGGAGGAGGAGGAGGAGGAGGAGGAGGAGGAGGAGGAGGAGGAGGAGGAGGAGGAGGAGGAGGGGGGCGGAGAGGAGGAGGAGGGGAAAGGAGGAGGAGGAGGGAGGAGGGACCAGAGGAGGGAGTAGACCAGAGGAGGAGGAGGCGAAAGGAGGAGGGAGAGGAGGAGGAGGAGGACGTAGGGAGGAGGAGTGGAATGGAATGGAATGGAATGGAATGGAATGGAATGGAATGGAATGGAATGGAATGGAATGGAATGGAAATGGAATGGAATGGAATGAATGGAATGGAAGGGAATGGAAGGAGGAGGGAGCACTAGGGAGCATTAGGGAGGAGGAGGAGGAGGGAGGAGGAGGAGGGGAGAAGGAGGAGGGGGGGAGGAGGAGGAGGAGGAGGTCGGACGGAGGAAGGAGGATGGAGGAAGAAGGAAGCAGTAGAGATGGTGGAGGCAAGTAGGAGGAGGAGGAGGAGGAGAGAAAAAGAGGAGAGGAGGAGACGGAGGAGGAGGAGGAGGAATGGAATGGAATGGAATGGAATGGAATGGAATGGAATGGAATGGAATGGAATGGAATGGAATGGAATGGAATGGAATGGAATGGAATGGAATGGAATGGAATGGAATGGAATGGAATGGAATGGAATGGAAGGAGGGGGAGGAGGGAGCATTAGGAGGAGGAGAAGGAGGAGGAGGAGGCGGAGGAGGAGGAGGAGGAGGAGGAGGAAGGAGCAGTAGTAGGAGGAGGAGGAGGAGGAGGAGGAGGAGGAGGAGGAGGAGGAAGAGGTGGAGGGGGCGGAGCAGATCGCTCCAGGGCTGTCTGGCACGCTCTCGGAGCGTTCCGGTGCGCTCCGGAGCGGCCGTGGGGCGCCCGATGCGTGCCCGCGGCGCTCGGAGATCACCCGCGTGTCCTCACCCGGACCCGTCCTCATCGGGCCCTTTTTTTGCTCATGGTCGCAGGCCCAGAGGTTGACACCAACACCCAGATTGGGGGTGTGCCTCCACCGAGGGAGGAAAATCCCCATCGCGGTGGTGGTGGTGATATTCTGGCTTCCAAGGCGACCGAAGTTTTGCCATCGACACCGAAATACAGGATCATCTTCCCCCTGTGGAGGCAACCCGCTGTGTTGGTGTTGGTGCCCACTTCCAGGCCTCCAACATGGGGTCCCCCGACATCCGCCGAGGGTTTTTTTGTTTCGATCCGCGGCCTTGGCCAGAGGTCCTCCCCAGGGGCGGTTTCTCGCTCCAGGTCCGTTTTATGGATGATCCCTGGGCCACGATGGCGGCCCCCAGAGAGGTCGAAGTCGAGGAAACGACGCCCAGGGTGAAACGCACATGTCGTCGGAGATCTCGGGCACTGCGAGAACGCCCGCCCAAGCAAGTCGACCGGTAAAATTTGCAATGGTTCATTCGAAATTGGCTTTCGAGTGCGCCAGTGCAGTCCGTAGCCCGTTTCGCCAGCCAGCGGGCGTTTCGCTGGATGCATGTCGATTCGCTCCCCCGCTGGGGCGCACTCGGAGGGCGGTGCCGCGCGCACGTGGAGTGCCCTTGGCAGCTTTCACTACAGGGCGCTCTGCTAAATGGGGAGGAGGAGGAGGAGGAAGAGGAGGAGGAGGAGGAGGAGGAGGAGGAGGAGGAGGAGGAGGAGGAGGAGGAGGAGGAGGAGCACCCCCCGAAGGTCTGGGCGTGGGCCGCGCCCTGGATGCGTGCGCGCTGCGCCTGCCAGCTCGGCCTGGCGGCCAGGCGTGCTGGCCAGATGTTGCCGCCCTTGGGCGGCCTCCGCGGTCGGGAGCTCGAGGCGGCAGGGCTGTGCGTCAG